CGTGTGGCGAAGAGCGTATTCGGGGCCGTGTTCCCCAGCCACGCTGCCCCACGGAATCTCGGCATCCCCACTCGAGACCGCTGGCCTGTGCCATCGTCCAGCTGGTGGGATGCTCCTGCGCACGGCGGGCAGGAACCAGCCGCTCTCGCAGCCCAGCACAAGCGAGGCAATTAAACGCCCACAGTCGGCATTGCTCGATGAGCTCCTGTTGGCTTTTCTTTCCTAAACGGCTTCTGCCATCTCCCTCGTCCCGCTGCTGCAGGATGAAAGGCTGACGAGCAAGCCTGTGAAAAGGACGCTGGCGGGCCCTCGGTGTCCGGGCTTGCAGAGCCATGGGCAGGCGGGTTTAGTATCCTCAGCTCCAGCCTGAGATGACCTTGTGCTTCTGCCAGCGTTTAAACAAAACATTTTAAAAGAGGGAACAGATCCCATTGCTTTGTGTGCTCGCAGGGCTTTCCTGAGCCTGTGAGCTCTCTCTGGGGCTGATAGAAGTGATAGAACACGGCCAGAGAGAGACAATGAAATACTGCCCAAGCTTACTGCTTTTTACTGCTATTAAAGGGAGGTTCTTCCTTCCAGTCTGGGGGGGGGGGTTAAAAATTTGAATCCCACCCAAACCTCATCCTTTCCAGCCAGAATCACAGCTCCACGTGCTGTGGCAAACATCATCCTCCGGCACACGCAGCTGCTGCCCGGCTGGGGCGAGCGGGCAGCACAGGCAGGGGCGGACGGGGATGGAAAATTCCATGTTGCCGCCATTGTCCGGGCTGGTGCGCGGCTGCGGGGCACGGGGTCCCTCCCTCGTGTCCGTGGAAGGCTGCCCGTGGGGCTCAGCCAGGCTCCACCAGACTGCTGTTTGCACATTATCTTTCTGCTTCAATCTCCCGCCCTCCGCTGCGGGAGGGGACCAGGGTGCAGGCAGGGTACGGGCAGGGTACGGGCAGGACAGGAGACACAGAGCAGTTCTCCTTATTATCCAACTTCAGGGCACGATCACAAACGTTCGCCAGTGCAAGAGATGCCCAGGGAGGACTAGGGAGCCGGGGACCACAGCGTGAGCGGGGACTGCAGCAACAAGAGATGAAGCCTCCTCCTCTTTCTCCCCTACCTGAGCATCGCACGCGTGCCTGTGCCACGGACCATTGTCCCCGCAGTGTGCCCTGACCAGGGGAGGAGGCATCGCAGAGCCTGTGCCAGCACCAGCATCATCAGCTCCATCCTGCTGCACTCAGCAGGGCCGGGCTGGGATGCAGGGATGCAGGGATGCAGGGATGCAGGGAAGAGGGCGGGAGAGAGGTTTTGCACATCAGCAAGTTCTTCCGCTGCCGCCCCAGGAGCTCACAGCGAGCCCGGGCTCTCAGGGCCACGGGCCCCACGACTTGCAGCCCCCATGGCCGCCTGTCTCCCAGGGGAGATGGGCTCCACAGGGACCGCTGCTCCCTGCCACAGCCGTGCACGCACCGAGCAGAGCTTCCCCCACCCCGGCTGGTGCAGCTCGGCGTTATTTTGTTAAACACAAAGACCAAAGCCCAGCGGCTGTGATGGCTCAGCAGTGCCCTGTCCCTGTGTCCTGCCTGTCGGAACCACAGCGAGCGGCATGCCCCATGGCTCCCGGGCTCGCCCGCACCGAGGGGATGCTGCACGGCGGGCACGCCGCTGCGGGTGGACGCCCTCGGCAGAGCCCAGAGCAGCTGTGACACAGCTGGAAAGCAAAGAGCGAAAGGCAGGCTTCAATATAAGCCCCCCCAGGAGGGTGAGGGCCCGGGGGGGCAGAGCCCCGCACCCTCCCCGTCTGCGGGCAGCACAGTAATGCGTCGCCGTTCTCTCTCGCAGGTACATCGGGGCGCTGGGCGCAAGGGTGATCTGCGATAACATCCCCGGGCTGGTGAACAAGCAGCGGCAGCTGTGCCAGAGGTACCCCGACATCATGCAGTCGGTCGGGGAGGGAGCCAAGGAGTGGATCCGGGAGTGCCAGCACCAGTTCCGGCACCACCGCTGGAACTGCAGCACCCTGGACCGGGACCACACCGTCTTCGGCCGCGTCATGCTGCGAAGTAGGTTCTGCCCCGTCCCCTTCCCAGCGCCGCGCGCTTTGTCTCCCTGGGAGAGTCTCTCCTCTCGCCGGGCTGCCGTGCCCGGTGGCTTGGATTACTCCCTTCGGAGAGCTTTGCCTTTCCCTGTAAATTAATCAAGCAGTAATGGGAGCAGAGCACTGCAATTGAAATAGCTGCACCAGATGAGATGGAGCAGGGGGAGCACTGGGGGAGAAGGGGGAAGGAGGAGACACCTCCGGAGAACAGGCTCATATGTAAACAGTAACGAGATATATAAATATTTGGAGAGCGGGGTTGGCCAGGACTCAGCCGTTCACGTGGGAACTGGCCGTTCCCGTGCATGGCAGGGGAGGCACGGCAGCCCTGCGGCTCCAGTCCTCGCTTCGGGCTCCGAGGTGGAGGAGGACCACGGCTGCGGGGCAGTCGCCAGCCCTGCAGGACCCGCTGGGCACAGCCCCTGCCCCGGAGGGACCTCCCGCTCCAGGTGAGGGACGGGTACAGCAAGAGCGGGGACGTGCCCGAGGAGCAGGGAGGAAGGGCGCGATGGGGACAGGGACAGTTCCAGAGCAGGAGCAGCACGGTGGGCTCCAGCCGCCCCCGGGAGGGCTCCGGCAGCGAGCGGACCCCGGGAGCGCATCCAGTCTCGCAGTCTCCAAATCAAAGGCGGCTGGAAGAGCCTTTCCGCT